TCCCTCAAAGATTGAGGCCATTGTGCAGTGGCCTAGACCTAGAACTTTGCATGACATTCGTAGCTTTCATGGTCTGGGTGCTCTTTTTATCGCAGATTCATTAGGAACTTCAACACTTTAATCGCGCCCATTACTGAGTGTCTCAAGGGATGTGACCTCCAGTGGACAGAAACCGCGGAGTCCAGCTTTGAGAAGGTGAAACAGAAGATGACAGAGGCTCCAGTACTAGCCCTCCCTGATTTTGACAAAGTTTTTGAGGTCAACTGGCTGGTGTTGGCATTGGAGGTGTGCTTAGTCAGGCTGGACGTCCAGTTGCCTTCTTTAGTGAAAAACTTTCTGGTTTTTAGAAGAACTACTCGACTTATGACCTCGAGTTCTACGCCATTGTTTAGTCACTCAAACATTGGCGCCATTATTTAATCCAAAAGGAATTCATTCTTTTCACTGATCACGAGGCTTTGAAGTATATTAATGGGCAACACAAACTCAATAGGCGTCATGCCATGTGGGTGGCGTACTTACAGGAGTTCACCTTTGTTCTCAAACACCAATCAGGTAGTGTCAACTGCGTCGCTGATGCCTTGAGTCGACGCAATAATCTTCTCTCCACCATGAGCAGTAGAGTGACAGGATTTGAAGTGTTTGCAGACATGTACGAAGTTGATCCTTCATTTGGGACGATCTTCTTGGAGGTGACTTCAGGACACTACCATGATTTTTTGGTGCACGATGGCTATCTTTTCCGAGGTCGGCAGCTGTGCATCCCAGATTGTTCCTTACGACAACAGATTATCAGTGAACTCCACAACAAAGGACATTTTGGTCGTGACAAGACTCTCGCTCTTGTGTCTGCTGATTTTTACTGGCCAAAGTTGAGAAGTTACGTGACCCATTTTGTGGATCGTTGCTATGTGTGCCAGCGATCTAAGGGAGCTCTCACAAATGCATGCCTTTATACCCCATTTCCAGAAGCTCCTTGGCTTGATGTTAGCATGTATTTTGTACTTGGCTTACCCCGCACCTAAAGGGCGGCAGACTCCATCTTTGTTGTTGTTGACAGGTTTTCCAAGATGGCACACTTTATTCCGGCTTGTGGGCATATTTCGGTCAGACTATCATTATTTGAGAATATTTCATATAAAGCGGAACTCTTCCCTAGCGTTTCAATCATTCCCTTTCTTTCGTTGTTCTTCTCATTCTAGCCCTACGCCTTGATTTAATTCGGCATCACAAATCGATGACGATCTACCTCACGGACCTCACCATCTCCGTTCTGGCGTTCCAAATTCGACGGCAGATTTACCATGTTTGTTCATTCTTTTTTTTGCTGCTAATTATTATTTCTTATTCTTTTAGATGCATTATTCCCAATTGTGTCTTTTCAAGTTTATTTGTTAAATTAAACATTACTCCCATCTCCAAACTTCAAAGTTCAAATTTTGATTCTAAATCTATTTTTTCTAATTATTCTTCAAACTAAATTAAATTTACATTTCTTTATTTATTCTAAATCTAGTTTTTTGTTTTACACATGCCTTTATAAAGGATGAAGCTGCTGAACTTGTTGAAAGTGATGAAATAGTTTAGCCTACTGAATTGTCTAAAGAATAAAAAAATAGTGTCTTGTTAACCACCTTTAGGCCATCGATTAGGGAATTGAACGAGAAATATTTTATATTAAATATCTTGGAAGAGTGCACTTATTACGTATTAAATCTATTTTTATTTACATTTACTTAATTAAATTTGTTGTTACTAATGTACATTTTATTTTTAAATATACTGTTTATTTTAAATATAGTTTTTTATTTACATTTATTTATCTACATTTAAATATACAGTTTATTTTAAATACAATTTTTTATCTACTTTTATTTATCTACATTTGTTTAAGGTGAGTTTTGACTTGCCCTTCTATTCTATACCCCCGAGTTTAAAAGGCATAACAAATGCTAAAATCGAATACTTGTGTAGCTGATTTTTCGACTTGCATTCTAAAAACTTTCAAGTTTTTCCCAAGATTACAGTTTGAACTCTTAAAAATACTTTCTTCTAAAAAGCAGTTCCTTACTAGCAATACTCTTTGAAAAACAAACTTATTACTCCCTCCATCCTAATGTGTTTGTATAAGTACAGACTAGTTGAAGAAGGTATTAACTCAATCAGAGGTCTAGATCATAAATGAAGCATGAAAGAGGAGAAAAACCAATGGACCTATGAGTTCCAAAACCATATCATGTAAAATTTAAAGTTAACTTTGCTTTAAGTGAACAAAATTTGTTTTATACCAATTTAACCTTAATAAAGAAGTGTAATTTGTGCTACCAAACTCTAATCTATATCAAGATCAAGCCCTTGAACATTTGATAAAGCCTTCATCAAGAAACCATATCATGAAATCATATGATGTGTAAAAGACATATGATTCAAGGTGATTCAAGGTGCAATACTACATATATTAATATGACATTTAAAAAGGTTATTAAAATGAAATCATATGATCATATATCTTTTTCCCAATTTTGTTTTGATTAACTAATTTTTTGTTTTTTCATTATTCATGATTAGATCAAAATTCAAGAGCAAAGTCAATGGAGTCAATAGCTTCCCATGATTCACAATGTGAAGAACAAAATGAAGCCCAAAATGCATCAATTACTGAGGAAAGTAGGGCAAAATCCTCATGTTCTAGACCTAAGAGGAAGGAAAGGAGTGCACCTTCAACAAGATCTGAGGTTTGGGATCATTTTACTAATTTTACCATTACTAAAGATGAAGTTATATTCCATAAAGCTAGATGTGATCATTGTGGCAGAGAATTTGCTGCAAATACTAAAACTAATGGTACAAACTCTTTGAAAAACCATTTAAAAAGTTGTGTGAGCTGACCTCGTGAGAAAGGAGATGATAATCAAACTGAGTTAATATGCGGAACAGTTGATGGGGAGGGAAATGTGTCAATAACTTTTGGGAAGTATAGCGCAAACGCACTTAGGAAGGGTATAACAGAAATGATTATCATCGATGAACTACCATTTAAATTTGTTGAGGGAAAGGGTTTTAAAAAAGCATATCCATTGCTGCTCCAAGATTTAATAAGATTGTCATAGTTAGACTTTTTAAGTCAAGATCTGACATCTTTTGACCATGAATTAAATATTATTTAAAATAATTAAATATTATAAAAAATTTGATGTTTCAAAATTATATTTTAATATAAAATTAATTGTATTAAATTTATATATAACTAAATATACTTTTTCCATAATTTATAGTCAAAGTGTTGCACAATTTGACCAAAAGAGTCAAACTGTTGCAATCTTTTTGAGACAGGGAAATAACTTTTGTGTCAATCAGGAGCTGCAAATATATTTTGTAAGTGTACTTTCAGTCGAGTCGCGTTGGAGCCTAGAAAATTAGTGTTTCGGTGGGCCCACTTTTTAGCAAATCTAGACATGTACGTGATTCCAAAGTTTACTAATGAATTTTTTGTTAATAGACATGCATAGGTGTTATACACTCTCCCTCCCTTCGTCTCTTAAAACATTTCAACTTTCAAATTTTACATATTTCATAAAACATTCTAATTTTACCTAAATGGACAATATTGTCCTTACATTTCTTAAGTCTAACCGAACTTACCTAAAGTAACTTCTACGCTCTACTCATTTTGACATTTCTCAAGCATAACTTGCTTCAATTGTCATCGTTTCGTATTGGTAAAACTTCTATATATTCCTCTCCCAAAAGTCAAAATTAGAAAAACTTTCTGAGACGTAGGGAAGTATATCCAACAAATTAACTACAGATCGTAGGTATCATTGCTTCTATGTGTTGGTGTATTTGAAACTAAAAGACTTCTAATTAATTAGAAAAAAAGTCATGTTTGTATATAATGTACTTGCTTTACTTTCTAAACTTTTAAAATAGTTCACAAAAGTTGAGCATTATTGGTTTTTCATCGAAAAATAATTATTGTTATCTTTAAAAATCAAGTATTACTTTGTATTCACTAATTATAAAGACAAATGAATTCAAATCTTAAAATGTTACAAATTCTTTTTGTCCCCAATTAAATGATATGTACACCGCTCACAGAGTCAAACTTTATTCAATTTATTTACCTATTTTCGTCAGACATTATAATTTAGGCATGTCAGCAATTATTTTGTAGAATTTTTTATGTAGTTTTTAAATATACACATTTATTCTTTATTTCCACCTTAATTATCTTATAAATTGAATAACAAATAACTTCTGTCAAATATCATAAACCAAATCAAACCAAATAAAATGAGACGGAAGGAGTAGTATAGAAGAACACATTAACTAAGCTTTACTTTTTTGAAAAATATGAGTATTGCCTTATTTTGTTACACATTCGAAAAAGAAAAATATAATATATATTTAAAAAATAAAAAGTTTGAAATAGAATATCCATAATCATATTATTAGTTAAAAATATCTAGTAAGACAATATAAAATATTCATTTTAAGTATATGGTTGACCAAATTGTTGACATGTGTTAACCGATTAGCTCTTGATCTACTCACTTGTGAGGGCCGATGTTCGATCCAATTTTGAGAGCAATGATTATAAGGAATTTTAGGTTGACAATTCTAAAGAAAAAAGTGATCCGTATTAGTCGATCTAAAGGTTCAATAATCAATAGGAACAGAAAAGATTGACATTAATTATCAATAAATCAGTAGTTAACAGCTATTTCTGACCATTGTATTAACAAGAGAATCACTATTTTTAAGTAATTAAAACTACTAACAACAGAAAATGCAATGTTCGAGTATGCAAGGGAAAATATTAACAAGAGAATTGGTATTATTAGACAATTAGGATTAGTAAGATGAACAATATTTCGAGAAAATTTAGAGGTAGAGTATGACATGAAAGTATTAACAAGATGAAAAGTATTTTTAGGCGAATACAACTACTAAGTCCATGGCATATAAATGGATAAATGTTTTTCTTGTAGAAATGGTAAATTTACTTTTAGAAGAAAATGATAAACTGGACAAAATTTACTAGGGAAGCTTTTTGGTGTAGTGCCACGATCGAAACATTACATTAGTGTTTTTCTTCTTTTTTGTTCTTCACGGATCCAGCAGATTTGTTGCCACCTACACTCTGAGTCACACACACCGAGTTGTTTGCAGCGGATGAGCAATAGGCGGCACCACGATTCTGTTCCCTTTCAGCAGCGGACGAGCGATTTAGTTCCATTGCAGCGGCGCCAGCGCGATTATGCTCAATTGCAGTGGCGCCAGGCGCGATTATGCTCAATTGCAGTGGCGATGGCACTATTCAGTTCAATTTCAACGGCGGTTGCGGAGGCGCGATTTCGTTGAATTCCGGTGGCGGTGGCGTTGCGATTCTGCTCCATTGCATCGGCGCCGCGATTTGCAGCGGCGGTGAGATCCTATTCAATTGGAGCGGCGGCGAGATCCCGTTCAATTGGAGCGATTGTACATCTTCTCGCATTCGGTGGCATGAGTATGGATGCTGCCGTATGAAAGATAGGGTTCACAGCAAGTCTTGTAGATAGGTACTGGTACTGAATCATCCATGTCCGTCGTCAACAAAATTGTAATTCGGATTTGGGAATGAATAAACTGGGCGCCCCCCTATTCTTATTTATAAATCAAGCTGTCTTGGTGATGCATTAAAATGGTTTGGGACCAATAGAGTAATTTTTAAGAGGTTGTAAATTGTTTGTTTTGATTTTTATATTTCCATCCTTTTAAATGAAAATTGGTCCTTAGTAATTACTCCGTTGGATCTGTGAAGAAGATATTTCCATCACTTTCAAATATTAAATCTAGGCATATCCTTTTTAAATCTAGGTAGAAAGATGGAAATATAAAAATCAAAACAAACAATTTATGGCTTCTTAAAGATTACTCTGTTGGTCCCAAACCATTTTAGTGCATCACTGAGACAGCTCGATCTAAAAATAGGCATAGGGGCGCGCCCGGTTTATTCACTCCCAAATTCTGAATTCCAATTCTGTTGACGACGGACATGGCTGATTCAGTAGCTATCTCCAAGACTTGCTGCGAACCGTATCCTTCTGATGGCGACAATCATCCTCATCCCACCGAATGCGAGAAGATGTACAAACATATGGAGAAGTTCAGCCGCTACAACAAAATGAAGTCCGATATGTTGAAGAAGCTACATCGCCAGCATGCCGCCGCCGCTCCAATTGAACGAGATCTCGCTGGCACTCCAATTGAACAGGATCTCGCCGCTACAAATTGCGGTGCAATGGAGCAGAATCACGCCGCCGCCGCTGGAATTGAACGAATTTGCGCTACCGCCGCTGAAATTGAACTGAGTAGTGTCACCGCCACTGCAATTGAGCATAATCGCGCTAGCGCCGCTGCAATGGAACTAAATCGCCCGTCCGCTGTTGAAATGGAACAGAACCACAGAGCCGCCTATCGCTCATCCGCTGCAAACAGCTCGGCGTGCGTGACTCACAGTGTAGGTGGCAACAAATCTGTTGGATCCGTGAAGAAGAACAAAAAAAGAAGAAAAACACTGATGTAATGTTTCGATCGTGGCGCTGCACCAAAAAGCTTCCCTGGTAAATTTTGTCCGGTTTATCATTTTCTTCTAAAAGTAAATTTACCATTTCTACAAGTAGTTGTATTCGCCTAAAAATACTTTTCATCTTGTTAATACTTTCCTGTCATACTACCTCTGAATTTTCTCAAAATATTGCTCATCTTACTAATCCTAATTGTCTAATAATACCAATTCTCTTGTTAATATTTTCCCTGGCATACTCGAACTTTGTATTTTTTGCTATTAGTAGTTTTAACTACTTAAAAATAGTGATTCTCTTGTTAACACAATGGTCAAAAATATTCTTATGGCTGTTAACTACTGATTTATTGGTAATTAATGTCAATCTTTTTTGTTCCTATTGATTATGGGCCTGTTTGGGAATAGCGTTTTGGATAAAATTTTAACGGTGCAAATTACTTTGAAAATGCTAACGCTAAACGCTGCCAGTAGATAATTTTTTCAAAATGCTAATCGCTAACGCTATTCCCAAACATGCCCTATAGAAGCTCTAGATCACTTTTTTCGTTGCAATTGTCAACCTAAAATTCCTTATAATCATTGTTCTCAAAATTGGACCGAACATCGACCTTAACAAGTGAGTAGATCGGGAGCTAATAGTTGTTATTATTTGTTGTCAGCAACCTTATTGCACAAAAGAAGTTTAATCCCGCAAGAGATCCGTGTTCAGTTTTGTGGGATGACTTGGTGACCATGGAATTGTCTCCGGGGAAGAAAGATGCTATGAATAGCCCACCCTCACGGCTTATTATATATCTGGAAAGTCGATCACTGGAAGGAAAGGACCAAGTTCGCATCATAAAATGCCAGCCCAATTCTAATCAAACATTTGAGGTTTATTCATCAATTGAGCTGGCAAGGACTACGTATGGGCCAAGTGATTCAAAGGTTTGAATTTCTACTTACCATCTAAAAAACCAAGCATGTCATTAATGTTTGAAAGTCATATTTTGGGCCAATGATTCATCAGATAGTCATACCCCAACATATTAGGCACTCTCGTTTAAGGAAAAAGCTTGTTAAGATTATGCTAGAGTCATCGCTTAGAGCTGTTCTTGTTGTTTTCGTTGTTATTGTTTGTGTTCTTTTTTTTGTTATTGACTTTGTTTTAGCTTCGGGTAAATAATGAACAAAATCAAAATGACACTTTCAACTTTCTTTGCTTTTCATTATTAGTTGTATACATGTCTTTTATTTTTGCATATTGTGACTTTTTTTAGAAGAATCGTCCAGGGGGAGTCTCTCAAATATGGCACAGGTTGATGTGACAAAGTCTAGTTCTATTTTGATATTAATTGTTGTAAGAATCAAGCTCGCTTGAATGTTACTCCTCTCTTTTTTCCTCGGTATTCTTAATAAAACCTTTGGCATTTTTTGTGCAGAATAGGGGAAAGAGGTTCAAACTGGCTGAGATTTGTTTTTGTCAAAAAAATTGCCAAAGGGGAGATTGTTAGTTCCATATTATGTTGGTATTATTTTTTGACAACCGAAGAGCATTGTTTAGAAATACTTGTAGCTATTCTAATTAGAGTGAAAGGAAAAGGAAAGAGCTTGGAGTAAAGATCCTATTTCTAGTTGGGCTTCTATTGCACTAGGGTTTAAGGTTTCCCTATATATTCTAGACCTCTTCTCACAATTGAAGGGGCCGAAAAAAGCAAGAGGTATTCCCGGAGTCTTGAAGAGCCAGAAAAAGGGACGAGATGTGGAAATCAAAAAAGAACAGATCATAGCCCCTGAAAAGTATTTTGTTGTTCTTCGCCAATTGTCTCTGCTGATAATCAAGAAAATTCAATACGGAGCACTATACCCAAAGTTTAACAAATAAGGATTTGTTATCCACCGAAGAAGATTAATACTCCTCGAGTATTTGGTGTTGCATGTGAAGAAAAACAGGAGAGCTGTTTCAAGTTTTAATATTTTAGCAAGGAGAAAAACGTGTAACAAGTCGTGGAGATAGACACAAACAGAGTTTGTGGTCAAGTCATTCGTAAGTGTCTTGCTTACTGTTTTCACTTTATATGAACAATATGAATGTGGGTTCCGCAGACATAAGAGAATATGCTCCGAACTCTGTGAACAATTTTGGTGTCTTGCTTACAGTTTTCACTTTATATTCTATGTGTGCACATATAACAGAGAAGGTGTTATAGCACTCTGTTTGTCATCTGTTTTTGTGAAAGTACTACAACATCTTCTGCATCTGTCTCTGTCTGTTTGTTTGATCTGTTGGCATAAATTATTTTTGTTGGTGATTTTCGCTGCCCCACAAACTTTCAAAGTGATGGCCACCACTCCGTGTTTACTCCCTCTCCATTTTTCATCTCAATCAATCAATTAAAATTTAACAGATATTCACACCTCATCATTTACATTTGCACCCCCTATAACACACATATTTCTATCAGTTTACATCATACTCCTTTACATATCATCAGGCTCCGTCAAACCCCTACCATAACACATGATCTAAGAACAACACGCATGGTCTTCCTAACTCTAAATAATGAAAGCTTCATAATATTGTTATACTCCATCCATTCCAAAATCCAAATAGCACATTCATTATTCACATGATCAAATATTATGTATTTTCCTAATATTTGTTACTCAAACAATTAAATAATACGGAGTATAGTTATATCACGCCATGTTTTGTATAACTTTTGGTACGAAGTATAATTTTTAAAAATATAAATTTTATTTTTTCATTTCATCTCAATTTTTAAATAATAAGCAAGTTGGTTATATATTTAGATCGTCACTCTATCCTTTTTTTTACAATTCAATTTTTTTTATCAAACCTTTTACATATTTTGAACTAAGAAAATATCTTAAAATTAATTCATTTTATTAAATTTACATTATTAATTATCATTTCACAATATGTTGTCAGAGTATCTAAAGATACTCAAATAAATACTCAAATAAACGTAAATATTAAAATGACAATAACTAATGTGCGTAAATTATTCAGCAAAATTTATTGGGAAACCTATAAAGGAAAGTGGGAGTTGCCCAATTAGGAAATGAATTACGGCTAAGAGCATGGGTAGCGGCGTTCCAGCCTTGCCATGTCATGTCACCTAGAACAAAAAAATTCTTTTTCCTTGCCATGTCATGCCACCTACAACAAAAAATTCTCTTTCCTCGCGTGGAAGCACCATTCCTCCATGGAGTGCAAGGCTTGGGCGATGCACATCTAACCTTTTTTTTATTTTTCAATTTTTATTTGAGAAAGATTTTTTTTGTAATCAATGACTTGCCACTACAAGGCATGTCACTCCACTTACGTGCCACTCGTTAACTAGACTATTTTTTATTAGTTAAAATGCTCCACGTCAGCGTGTGGCATTCCATTTCTGCCTCACCATTGTTCATAGGGCCTCTGCAAGTGCAGGTTTTACTCTTTGCTATCAATTTGCGATCAAAGTCTAATTTACTTTTTCCCACTGACTGTCCGATTGGGTATGAGGAGCCCGAGGCTCATCTTGTTTTAGGAAGCGAACCACCAAGTAAAAATTTTAAAATTGAAAATATTGGACTGAAAAAAACTAAAAAGGGGGGGGGGGCGCGCGAAAGTAAAGAAAGAAAAACCTTTAAAACAGAAAAATAGTAGAAAATGATATTCCATAAAATAATGTGAGAGGATAAATTGATAAATGTGATATGACAAAAAAGAAACACTAAATTTTTAATTTTCCTATGAAAATAATAGATATCCAAAATATATCTAAGCAGCTAAAAAATATTCAAAATCGAAATGCATCTGAACTGAAATACATCTGAAACAAAGATATATTTGAAGCGAAATAGATCTGAAACCAAAATCGATTTATATTCAAATTGTATCTGAATTGATATGGAACCAAATCAAACTCGAAAATACATAGAATCGAAATAAAATTGATCTCCACTCTAGGACCATAACTCGATCTCCATTTCGATCTCCATTTGCAGTCACTCATTGCACTTCCCGATCGTTACCCACAAGCTGCCCACTGGCAACACAACTACCGATCAAATGTCACTCAAACCAGAGACGTTCCCTACTGCACTCTGACTCCATAGACTTTCAGGTAAGATTCGAGTCCATCCCACCGTTTATTATTTTTTCCATTTTTAACACTTTTTCTATGCACTCCTAGTCTCCCTCATACTTAATTCTAGGGTTTTGCTTAAATTTGAAAAGTAAAAATGACTGAAGATCTATGAAGCACGGTTGCTTCAAAAAATGGGTGATGCTTACAAGTTCACATTGGATACTTCCTCTCTTATTTCTTTTATATCACAAATGTACTAAGTACCATAAAATTAGCTCAAAAAAACAAGCACAGTACCGGGTGCGGGCTTGGATGTGCTGTGTGTGGGGTCGTTTTGCTTTTTTATTCTAGAAAAGAGCAGTTTTGTAGTGATTAAAACAATTTGGGCCCAAAATGAAAAAATCTGTAACTTATCACGGAGTAACAAATGGGGACTCAAACAAAATTCAGACAGAGTTGGCACGAACGATAATAAAGAGAGAGAGAGAGAGAGACTTCGCCGCCTCCCAAGTCTCTGTTTCGTTGCCGATCCATCCGCGTCGCCAGCTTCGTGCTCTCTGGCGCCGTCCTCTCCGGCGTCGTTTTCAGGTATCCTCTTCTCTCTTCCGATCCCCTTCTAATCTGTATACTCTGTATGTATCTCTCAGCCTCTCTCTCTCTCTCTCTTTCCTTCTCCTTGTCTAAGTCTCTCCCTCTTCCAATTTCTTTGCTATTTAATGGCGCGTGCTCTACTGGTATGAATTTGTAAATGTTTCACAAGTTTTTTTTTTTTTTTGGAATTGCGAGGGCAGCGAGGATATTGAGATTTCCTTTTGAGCTTTTCTGTGCTATTTCGTGGGCTGTGTTTTGGCTATTATAATTTGTAGGGTACTCGGTTATTGTGTCATTAATTGAATTGAACCGGGCCAATGATTGTACGGGCCCAATTATTTTTTAATATTATATGTATGTATATAAGAAGCCCAGCATCCAGCCCGTCAAAAGCCCATCTCCGTTAGCCGCCCCACCCCATCCTATTTCGTTAGACAACTATCGCAAACCGCAGAGCCGCAGAAGCTGGACTGCCGAAACCGAATTGGAAAGAGAGTGCCGACTGCTGAGAAAGCCGCCGCCTCCGCCGCTGCCGCCAGACGCCACTGCATCCTCCAGGTATTCCGTATTCACTATCTTTCCAATTTAGTAATTTTTTTCTAATTTTCTTTCTTTCATTGTTTCATTCTTTGGATTTAAAATCTAGGGTTAATTATTATTTTTTAGTTTGAAATTTTTGCTAATTGCTATGAAATATAAATGAATAAATGGTTCCATATAATCTTTATTTGATTTGGATTAATTGATATGAATTTATGATATATATCAAAAAACTGAAAACTGAAAAACTAAAAAAACTGAATAATTGACAAATTGATATGAATTTAAGATATATATACACACACACACACACACACACATATATATAAAGACTAAAAATTGAAAAATTGATGAATTGAATCAATTGATATGAGTTTATGATATACGGAGTATGATTTTATTTGCTTGCTTTTCCATATTTGATTTTACTAAGTAGTAAAATTTATGAATTTGAATTTTATTTCTAAAATAATTCAATAGCTATGGGTCCTAAACATCTATACAGTAGTCAAAACCGTAAAAAGAGAATACGAGATGAAGATTGAGAAAGTCTCAAGCTGGATAAGAAATGCTTTGGTCATTTATTTATTCTCTTCTAATATATACTCCGTAGTGTGTACATATACTTGTTCATATTAATATATTTTCAACTCTATTTTTGAAACACTGTCTTCTTAATACTCAAGCATGTCTGTATTTATATTCCATATGTGTAAATAGCAAATTTGGGCTTATTTTATTAATTCCACCCCTATTATTCACATATTTGATGCTTGGCATGTAGTTAGATACTAATTTCTTTGAATTTCAACAAGTTGAGATGTTCACATTTGATTTCTTGTTGCCATAGGAATGGTTCCCATGGAAAAGAAGATAAAGAAAGCCAATAAAGTAAAAGTCAAGCTGAAAAGAAGCAAAGATGAAGCTTATATTTCACATTCAATAGGTATGTATTGTTGTTTGTATGAGACTGAGCTTTTTTCATGATCTCATTCCTAATTCCTTAAGCAGATGAGGTAGATACACATGTCAGGGGAAAGAAAAAGAAGAAACTTTCAAGGAATAGGAAGAGGGAGAATGATGAGTCGACTGAAAGAGAAACGGATGCTATTGACCAACCTAATGAAATAGAAGGTGGACATGGCTTGGAAGAGAAAAATGCAACAAATGCTGAAGAAAATGAGAAGAATAATTCTAGAAGAAAGAGAAGAAAAAGTGAGAAGCAAACTGAAGCAGACAGTATTGCAAATGAAGTCGAGAGAATTCAAAAGAGAAAATCAATAAAGAAAAGGGAAACTGAGAAAAAATCTGATGCAGACTGTGATCCAAATGAAATTGAGGAAACCCAGACCAGAAAAACAAAGAAGTCAAGAACAATTGAGAAAAAAACTGATGCAAATAAAGTTGAGGAAAACCAGAATGGAGAATCAAGAAGAAAGAAGAGAAAGGGTGAGAAGAAAAACCAAAAGAATGGAGTTGATAAGTCCTATATTGATGCTGAAAACAGGCCAGATGAACAAAATGGTATGTCAAAAGAAACTTTACTTTCTAGTTTTACTCTTTACAACAGCAAGATTGTATTTCCAACTAAGGTTGTGTTTTGTTTAATGAGAGTGAAGGGGTTTTGATGAACCTAGGGGAGTGGAAATTAGTTACCAATTACTCCGTAATTCTTGCTTTAATTTTATTTGTTTAATAATTGAAAAATAAATTCCAAAAAATAGTACTCGGTCTCAAAAAACACTTTCCACTCTCCCTTTTTGGACGTCCCAAAAACACTTCTATATCCTTTTGAAGTAATGAGCATGTGGCTCACATGATTTCTCTCAAAAGAACTCCAACTGTACACTTTTCTATTTTCAACACTGTAGTAATATTTTGTGGGAATGGTAGTGCCGTAGTAGATGATTGTATGGTAATACCGTAGTAGATGATTTTGAAAAAGTGAGGAAACCCAGGACCATCACAGACATTTTCTTTGAAAATTAATGATTTAGAGCCAAATGAGGGTGTCCCTTACCTCCAAAATCATTGAATCAAGTAAGCATATGATTTATTAGCATTTACAGAGTACTTTTTACTGTTATATGTCTATTGTTGCATTTTTTAGATTATGTAACTGCCTCTTAAGGAGAAATTTTGTGGCTTGAATTCTTTGAACTGTAGGCAAGTCAAGAAAACTTAAGGATCATCTTCCTAATGCAGAAGAGAATGTTCTGGGGAAAAGTGGAGAAGCTGAAGAAGTGTATGAACTTTCTTCTGGAGATGAACACTCCTCTAAAGGAATGCAAAGTATGGCTGAATTTCATTTAGATTTGGCATACATCTTATGGTTAAGTGTGTTTGAGAAGCAAATCAGTAGTATACTAATATATTATAGGCTGAAATATTTAATTATTGTATAATAAAGTTTTCCTGTCATGTAAATGGAACCATCTACCTTCTTCCAAGTTTATTTTACTAGTATGTATTTTAATGGATTTCATTTCACAATCCCTTAATGTAGAATGGATTACAGAATATTATCAGAGCAGGCCAGGACTGCAAGTGTTACAAGACAGGATTGATGAATATATAGTTGCCTATGAAGCAGAAAAAGAAAAGGTTATTCACAAAAATGGAATACTGTTATTTTTATCTGTGATTTAATTTTCACCTATCGCTGCAAGTATTAGTTTTTCATATCCTGTTGTCGTTCTAAAATGATCCTTGTTTTTTGGGATGCACTCAGGAGAGGAAGAAAAAAGAAGCCATGGTTGCGGAAGATGGATGGACAGTTGTGGCACATCACAAGGGAAGAAAAAAGACGACAGATTCTGAAAGTGGGATTGCAGTTGGTTCTGTTTCCCAGGCCGCTGCGCTTGAAAATCTGGCCAAGAAGAAACAAAAAGAAACCGGTTTAAATTTCTACCAGTTTCAAAAGAGGGATGCCAAGAGAAATGGTATGACTATGGTCAAATACGACGTTTGGTGTCATATATTTGTGCAGATTCTCACGAATGTTTCATGAGCTTTGTTTGGCTTTTGAAATGCAGAGATTATGGAGCTACAGAGTAAGTTCGAGCAGGACAAAAAGCGCGCCCAGCAGTTGAGAGCTGCAAGAAAGTTCAGACCTCTGTGAAATGTGATTGTTTGTTTTCCTCCTATTTATTCCCTTCCCCCCTCCTTTCCCTCTTGTGTTGGTGCATTCAAAGTGAATATTTATGTCTACTAAATTTCCCTTGTTGCAAAACATCTAATCCGCTGGCCTTTTGGGCACTGTTTGGAATGCGAAATTCGCTTGAAAGGTTATTTCGGAAGAGCAAAAATTTCAGAGGTGTTGTGATTCCTTGGTGGGTTTCTGAGTAAGGAGGCTGTGTTCTATTTAACTTTTCTTTATGTTTGTTATTTATTTTTATTAAAATCATATCAGATCTTTTCAGATCAAAACAGTCTAGAAAAGTGTTTTAAAAAAATGTTAATACTGTCTATGATTAAATATTACGGAGCAATTACAATTAAACCATGTTAGTACATTATTTAATGTTAGTACTACTATAATGTTTGTATAACAATTACGGAGTAAATAATACTGTAATAATGTTATATATGATAAATTATACTCTCTCCGTCCCTCAGTTTTTGTCCACTTTTGATTTTTGGAATTGTTCATCTAAGCACTTTGACTCATCAAATTCTCTCAATGTGTAAGCTTAAATATAGTCATGTGTGATCTTGTTTGATTTGTAACATATAGATTATTAATATATAATTTCTATAATTTTTTAATATACAAATTACAAGATAAAATGGATTAAAGAAGTGTATTGGATGATGTGTAAAAATGAAAGTGGACAAATACTCTCGGACGGAGCGAGTACATCCTATTAATATAATTACTATTATAATCATTTTAGTTATAATAATAATAATTTTAATAATAATACTTTCTCCATTCTAAAAAAAATTCCTCATTTTGTATTCAGGGATATTAAAAAAGGGTGGAAACAATATTGACAAGATATTAAAACGAAAAATTAAATGGTTGATTTTTTTTATTTTTTAGAAGGGAACAAAGTGTTTTGAACTACACTTACATTTCTAAAAAAGAAAAAGGTAAAAAGTTAAATTCTTTGGGACATCTACAAATAGAATACTCTTTAATTGTGCTTTAGGGATTGTTCGCTAATTGTGAGTGTATGATGTTGTGTGAAATGTGATTTTGCAACAAGTGGGTACGTGGTAATCCGTAATTGTCAATCTGTGTTTCTTGATTTGAAATAATTTAAAAATAAAAATTTAAATACACAAATAGCAAATTTGTAAAGTTTGTATTCAAGTTGTTTGTAACTTTAACACTACTCTAATTAAATGGGGTATATAATCATACACGCACTATAAAGCACATGTTCTTTGTATTCTCAGCCATGATTACTTTTCAAATTCAAGCAAAAGCCCAGAATTAACTATGAGGGAGACAAGGGGGCCATGGAAACAAGGGTTTAAATTGAAGAAAAAAAGCGGTGAGATGGACTCGAATCTTACGTGAATAGAGGTATCGGAGTGCAGCGGGGTAGTCGGTCTACTAAGAACTTGGGAAGTCTCCGGTTTTTGAGTGGCATTTGATTTATGGCGGCGCGGCCCGTGCGCAACCTGTGGGCGACTGCGAATGGAGATTGGGTTATGGTTGTAGAGTGGAGATGAACCCTAGTAAATGATTCGGTTTGACCACTTGGTGTAATTTCTATTTTATTTCGATTCTATACATTTTTTAGTTTTATTCGATTCTAAATCAGTTCAAATACGATTTGAATATAATTGATTCGAATATATTTCGATTTCGAATATATTTTGGATCAAATATATTTTTTGTTTCAGGCTTTCAAGTATAATTTGAGTTGTTATGTGTTTCTGTATTTGTTTTGGTGCACACCCTTGAGGTCCCCTTAGCACCACCATTTTGATGATATTTGGAGTAAATCACAAAAATCAACTACTTAGAGAGGATGAGTATTGTATCTTGTTTTTAGACCATCTTAAGTTTTATTCCAATTTGTACACAACATGTATGCAGCAACACTTTAATGATTCACAATGATACAAAAAACTAATGCGATTAAAAAAAATTACACTAACATTTTGTGGCAGACCATCGAAATATCATTGCATATTTGTGATATACAACTTGAAGTACATCCCTTGGTGTATAAGTAGCCTTGTTTTTATGGTTTAAAGATTGAATTTATTTTTGTGGGGCATATATTAATGACCGTAATACTAGTCCCTACTAATGAAAAAATCTACGGTATGAGACCAATAATGAATAAGAGATGGGGTTGGGGCTTCATAAACCCAATTTCGCTTCCAATCAGATTTTCGCGCGAGCGATGCATTGAAAGCTGAAATAGCCTTTTTCACATTTATTAGTACTATTGACTACGTAGTAATTTACAATATAGTATATATTCATACTTTTCTCAACTTAATGACGTACAAAGAATCAACGCCTTCGCTGGAATTCGAACCTGAGTAAACTTTCCCCTGAGTCTTGGGGAGTAGGCTATCTTCACCTTATTATTGCATGCAAAAATGCAAAATGTTCATTCAATTCAATTTAGCATTTAAAATAATCAACACTTTGACAGAAGATCATACATTACACATAGCACAAGAGTAAAGACACAATACAAGCTAATAATGAGTACACAAGCCATTGTTAGTTTTTTACGCCATTGGAAGAAGCTAAGCGGGTCAGCTCCTGTCCATCTTACTCCTTACTCGTTGCACGACACGTACAAACTCATAGAACATTGTGAAATCCAAACCTGCAGGCCCATCAATGTCAGCAGCCACGTCAGCTTTTTGAGCGTAAGTGCAAGGATTCTGGCATATTATGAAATCGAACCCTCCATACTTTTTAACCAAGACCTCAAGCCTGTTACTGGCCAGCTTCTGCACATCTTCCATCTGCACCAACTCCCCTTTCTGCCCTGAATTCTCCCACCACTGTTTAAGAATCCTTCGTTTTGTCTCACAAGTTTCCACAGCCACCACCACTTTCAGCTGAACCCCAAGCCGATGCAAAGCAACTTCAGCCCCTCCAATCCCGTTGTAGACGGACAGGACTCTCAATCCCTCTGGATACCCTGATTTCAAGGTGGACAGATGATATGCCAATGTGTCCGTCTGAAAGCAGTTTTTCAAGAGCTGGAGCCTGTCTGCCAATGTGGAACCTGCAGTTCGGGTGTGGTTTGTTGGATATCCAAGAATGCTCTCTATGGTCTCTGCCTCTATCGAGGACAGTCTGTTTCTCCCAACCCAAACAAGATTCAATGTCTCGCACTGACGGATGATGTCTTTCTGTCTCTCTGCTGAGAGAAGCCCTCTAGACTCGGATAATATTCTTTCAATCTTTTCACGGGCTTGAGATACCCCACATGTCTCTGCATTAATGTAGTTGAGATGCTTCCTCGTATCCCATGAAGGCCACCATTTTGAGGTGTGGGGCATCACTTCCTGGATGGTCATTGGTGGTTTTGGAAGGATGCGAGATCTCTGTCCTGTGGGAAGATTGTGCAAATATCCTTCCCTCCGACTGAGGGCTGAGAATGACTGGGTGTTGACAAACTCCGGTTCAACTGCATACAAAAACTGTGATATTTTGACCCAAGTATCATGAGATAAATTCATGATGGTTCCGTAAAAGAAATAGGGAGGTTTAGCCACCATTCTATCAAGGCTCCTGCATGAGTTAGGCATGGACATCCGTGGTGTTGCAGCAACACTATTATCCATCATTAATCTCGGTTTATGGGGAACCCTTCTTTTAGAAGCTGATAGAGTGCTAGGTCCAGTAAACGGTGGGAAATGACGCAAGTTAGTTTCCTCCCACTCCTGTCCTTCATACTCTTGTTTTGGCTTTTTCAAATAGTTTGTTTCATTATTATTAATATATTCTTCTTGGGGGCGTTTCCCTCTGAACTTCTGCAGAAAGTCCAAACGTGTGGACTCGTAATAGGCATCTGGAGTAGGATCCTCTCTTTTGACGGCTAGTGGGTCAAAATAATGACCATTGAAGCCTCCACGCATTGCACTGCCTGATGGACTGCATCTGCTTCGAACACTTGAGTCATTCATGCCAAAGGAGGTTGAGATGTACTGCTAAGAGATGCCAGCAAGAAAAAAACGAGCTATTTATATTTTTGTACAGGAAAGGAAATAAAAAGGGATCAGCTCGATTGCCGTTTTGATCAAACAAAAACTGATTACTTATGTACTTTGCCAAAAAAAGAAAAAGAGATATAGACAAGTTGAATATGAGTAAGCATCAAATATTTTTTAAAAGAACTACGATTCGTGATTTAAGACAAGTGTACCTTACCAAAATTAAAAGGTTATACATTAGTCAAACATGGTTCTTTCTTAAGATGGAGGTAAAGGTAGAACTATGCATTTTTTGCAATGAAATGTGAACAAGTGGATGATAAGAAGAGCAAATATAAATTGTTCATCACATGGCATGATAAATGCCTAAATGGCATTGTTAATATGGATAAATGCAAAAAGTACATAAAATGGAGAAAATTTTGACACAGGACCAACTTCCTAGAAATGTTCTAATTAATCCTCAGATATCAAGGTAGCGAGAACAAAGGAAGATCCATCACAAACCGATGTTGAAGTGGAATCATATTAAGAAAAAATCACACCATTACTCCCAGATTGCGTGATTTTACATAAATACTTCAAGATTCAATAAATGACATCAATGCTTTCAGAATTTTCAAATGTTTACATTGGTACTCCATCATTGACATTGTTTAGACTAGTGCCCCAACATTTGGAGCATATATCAATTCTGGGAGCACAGATGTAAACATAGGAAAACTTGGGAGCATTGTTGTCACGTATTTGAATCTCAGAGTATTTATGTAAAATTGTAAAATTTTGGGATTAATAGTATGACTTTTTCCTTGAACTTATCATGAATAATAGGATGCCTTCATGCAGGTTTGAATGCTGAAATGACTTTATGGTAAAGCATAACAATAATGATATAATAAACCCCAATATAAAATGATTAAAACAAATGGCTACCTTTTCCTTTTTAATGATGATACTAGGATTTTTATGAGATACAATTGATTCTGCAAGAGCTTCAAGAGGGGTTTCTGAACCTGAAACACAACACAAATTGAGATAAAAATAAAACACTAATTTGCATTCCTGGAAGCAAAGGCCATGAAAGCTGGCTGGCAAGTTAAATGGCCATAATATCTACCTATCACATGGTCCGCCGATTTTTAAATTTATTATTTATTTTTTTTACATAGCGGCGGATTTTTTTGAATATTATTCACTCTATTACAATGTAGTATCTGTTCATACATTTCTCAACCTAATGATGCACAAAGAGCCAACACCTCCGCCTCTGCTGGGGCTCGAACCTGGGTGAACTTCCCCAGGATTTTCCCATGAATCCTGGGGAGTAGCTTCATACCACTCAAGCCAGGGGATTGGTTTGCCAGTTTCTTTATGTATTACGAGTATTATTTTTTTCCGCTCTAGAAGCGAGGAATCTTCTGCCTATTTCCATATTTTTTAAAATAGTGGCGGATAATCCCGCTGGTTTCCATTTTTTCTTTATATTAGGCTGTATACCCACTGTCGTATTCCATATTATTTTCTCTTCTTTTTTACCGTTGATTACGGTATAGAACCAGGGAATAAACAGTCGTTAATTACTACTTTCTATTAGTGGGGAATAGTCCACTGCTAATTGCGTTATAAAATAAAACTAAAATGGAAATAGGTGGTACGTTTCGCCACTATTTAAAAAACAAAAATGAAATTAATATGAAAATTGGCAAAGTTGTTCGTCACTCTTTGTTTAAAAAAAGTTGATATCAAAACCAGTGGACTGATCCCCCACTTCTAGATTGTAGTAAATAAGACTTTTCCAACTTTATTTGATGGAAATGTTTTTTTCAGTTTTACTCACCATACTTTTCAATAGCAATTGAAATATCATTCTCAGAGAACCCCATTTCACTCAACCTAAGGGTCTTCTCCATCGTCCCAAACAATACCTCAGTGATGCCCTCCTGAACAACATAAATCATATAAGCGAGCAGTTATTGGGTGATAATTCCAACCATTTATGCCTCATGAGTCGTGACAACTATTGATGAACCTTTAATTTTTGTAATGTAAGACTAAACTTTTGGGAGTTACAGTATGTGAAAATTATACAAAACAAACTGTTTGAAATTGAAGAAACCTTGAAGTGTCCAGACCCTGGTAGATTGATTTCTAATTGCCTTTTTTTCCTTTAAAAATCCCACATTACCTTACCAAATTAGACGCTCTTAATTTTAAAAAACCAAATATTTAGTAAAAAATCTTGACAATAACATGTTAGCCATGGTAAGCTAATTATTGTTTGACAATATACTCCCTTTGTCCCTAAAGAAATTATTGTTTGACTTTCACGGAGTTTAACAAAACCATAAAAGTGTACAACAATGACAACTTAGTAGGCCCAACATGTTGGGTCTAGGGGTCAAAAAGTACGCAGCCTTTACTCCTATAAAGATAGAGAGGTTGTTTCAATTAGATCCTAGATGCATTGTTGCATTTACTTCTCAAAACTTTATACAATGTAAGAAACAAGGAAAGTTTACTGTGCAATTTGGTATCGACCATTATGTGCCCAAAACTAAAACACTTTCAATAATGACTTTTTTAGCTCCACCAACAATCAACAGAAAAAAGTGAAAAGTGTGGTTAGAATTTGTCTAAAAGAGAGAAATATTGTGAGCCACATATTCCTCTCTTCAAAATGAAAACGGAGAAGTGTTATATAATTTTGGGAGTTGGGACATTCCAAAAAGGAAATAATGATGTTTTTTGTGGGACTGACGGAGTAAATACTAACATTAGTGGAATGACCCGACTCCACTTAGCATTCAGTCTCAAGAAAAAACAGTCAAGAGCCCATGACTAGTCTGAGAGTAAAATCTTCTCCATTGATTTCAAAAAAAGTCAAATTTTCCTTTCTGGGTTGTTTCATACTACGGAGTACTTGTCTAAATTCCTTTTTTTAGAAAAAGCTCATTCAATAAACTTACCCACCAAAACCACCTTTTCTTTCTCTAACTCCACCTTTTCCTTATTTCTTTTGCACACGTTTTTCTTTTTCCCACAACACCTTTTTTCCACATCCCACCATTTATTAATCTACATGTCAAAACAACCAGAACTAGCAATATGAATAGAAGGTATCAACAAGATCCAAGCATGAGGCCCTTAAATAGTGTAGGGCGGTAATTTTGGAAACTCAAAGCATTTTTTAGCATGCCTAAAAAAGTGTTGGTTCAACTTGGGAGTTGGGAAAAAAATTCTAGCCAGAGGGAGTAATAACTAATCCATATATTCAATTATTTAAACGCTCTACTTTTTCAGCTATCACAAGCACACTCTTAGAAGAAAATAGTAGATGCGATATGAAATAAGATTCCATAACAATTACAGAAAATTTATCAAGTGACATATTGGTGAAAAACCTGGTCAACTTCTTTGGCATCATCTTCTCTTTCAAAAGATCCAGCAATCCGAGCGGCAAGTATGAAGTCCACAAGTTCAGTGACAGGAGCTTCTCTGCCTAATTGATGCAGAACAGAGAGAACATTAAATACTGAAGTACAAACAGGATTTAGAACACACACAATGCCGATCTAAAATGCATTGGGTCCTGGAAAGTTCAAGGGAAATTTGAATTACTGTATTTCAGTCATGTTAAACTACATGAATGGAAAGAAATCTATGCCAGTTAATTCAGGTCCTAAATTGTAATGTAAGTATGTAACCTTTTCATGCTTCAGTCAAAGCCCTCAAAGATGGTTTTCTTGCTTTTCATATCCATTGTGATTATTTAGCACTCAAAACTTGCAATCAGTGTGTGTATATCACACCAATTTCAATGCAATTTTGAAAATAAACTCTGGCTTACACAATGATAAACAAAGCCAAGAGGCCTTCAATCTTTTTATTCAACGGAGCATTTGTTTATTTTTATTAATTTTTGTGAAAATAAATTCAGGGTGACAAAATGATTAACAAAGGCAAGTGGGTTTCAATTCAAAACTTGTGTCATGTAAAAGCCTAAAAGGTTGCAGACTTGACGACAGTAAGTACACAAATAGAGATAAGTATATCACTGATGAAAGTGAAATCCTTCACAATAAAAAACAACACTTACCAAGCTTTCTCATTGCATGATTTACTTCCTCTAAAGCAAAATCCATTGCTAACAAGGATTCTTTCTTTTCATCTCTCACTTCACATGTATCAAGCTCCTACAAGCAAAAGGATTACCTGAAATTATTCTCACTGGCTTCATTTTCATTTGTGTGGCCACTATTGAAAAACAACACCCTCCAAGAGAAATGTATTCGCATGTAAGTTTGAAACAGGAAGCTGCAAGTGTTTTGATATCTCACGAGTTACGACAACGAATAGATGAACTACTTGCCAAAACTTTATTAATTTATTAAATAAAAATCCCGCTTTACAATAGCTAGGACGCCAATCATGAATGGCGGACATCATTCAGGTTAAACATCCAGGCAACACACTAACGGTGCAATTGGCAATGCCTAATACATGGCAATGAGATTCTACTTTATTTTCGAAAATAAACATAATCACCACTTCAACCCAAAATATATTGGGATCTGTGGCATAAAAATTAGAGTAAATTAGTCATCTTAAATTAAGTAGAAAATTCATGCAGAAAAACAAAAACAAAAAACCGTGGCCTGAGTTGTATTGCCAGATGTCTTTGCTGTAACAACTTTCCAATATCAATGTACTAACAACCCCAAAATGTTGTAGGCTTGACAGTGTGAAGCCTGGAGAGTGGCCCTAGATCAATCACATGGCTATCCAAGCAGCCCTATAGCTTACATTGTTGCCTTAGATTATCACCTAAGTGGTGCCCTTGGTGCTTGTATATAATCCCCTCTTCTTGCAGTCTATTAATCATGTTGTCAATAAATGTACAATGGGGTTCTTTTGACCTTCAAAACCCGATCATATTATGACCCGAGGCACCCACGATACTCCGTTGGTAAAATTGATGGTTCTTACCCCCTTAAACCCCCTTGCACCCCACCCCTGCCCCCGAGATCGCCGATTTGGCAGCCCAAATCAGAAATCTAGGGGGGCTAGGGCAGGGTGTAAAAACCATCAATTTTACGAACAGAGGACCGTAGGTGCCCCAGCCATGATATGACCCGGGGTTCCCAGGTCAAAAGAACCTTGTTGATAAATGTATTATAAACTTCAATGGTTGGTTCAGCCATTACAAAGTTTTTTTTCCCTTAATAAGATATGACAACATCAATTCAGCTGCCTCAAAGAATAGTTACCTCTTTTACATGTAATTCTGTGTCCAGAGGCACAATGTTGATTGGATCGCTTGCATCACCAAACAAGCTATCCAATGAATCTGATGAGTCTGACCTATGAAGAGCCTGATTAACATTATAGAATGTCTTCAGTTGGCATCATTATAGAGATCACTGAAATGCATCCACAAAAAAGGTGAAGTCGGTGTCTCGCTAACCTCACTAACCGGATATGCAAAAAGCGTCTCCAGTAACAAGTCCATGTTGCCATCACCTATATTGAGAAGTATTCAATTTCCACAATTCATTAGAGTAAAAATGGATAAATTTACCTCACACATATATATTGTACTCCCAGTAGACAACCAACCAATGGTGAGTAGTGAACACACTCCCACTAGACAAATGAAGGAATGGACAAATTAGCCCAAACCAATGGGTGATGTTTACCTCACACTTATATGTCAAAATGGTATTTTTAAATAAACAATGCAGCTAACTTGGTGCAATATGTATTCTACAAAAAGCAATCAGTTTCATAAACCCTCTTTTTTTAAAAGAGATAACTACTCTTCCTTAACAACAAGAATGTGCATTCATTTGCCAACCACGTAGAGCACGTGAAGATAGAGTGATAGACTCTACATGGCATACCATTTTCTTCAATTGCTCTGTCAACAAGTGAAGGTGAAAAGCCCATTGCAAGCAAGGATGACCTCACATTGCTTCCAGATGAACTGGCAACATCGCCCTGCATTGTAGTGCCGATTTATATTCAGCATGAGTATAATCAATTTACTTCACTTTGATGCAAGTATACAATCCATAGGTATTATAATGAAAGTAATCTTAAGTCCATTGTGAGCATACCCCCATATGTTGTGAAAACATGTTCTCCACTGGCAAATCATAATCAAGAGCCTCAATTTTAGGCACGATGGCACTTTCAGCAGGTGGTTTTGCAGTATTTCCATTGTTGGAGCAATCCATTATTAATTATGTAACAGATAGACTAAATCTTGTTAGAAAACGAGGGCCTGCTGAGAAGAGTCGGACATGCATGGGACGCTGCCCCACCCAATACGAGGTCAAATCTGAAAGAGAAACATAAATGCAGCATAGTTTCGTTCTTTCTTTTTTCCTGGCAGTGGCTAGATGCAAGGAATGTGGCTGGATCCGATGCCCACCGAACGGAGTAATGGTGACGGTCGAATAGAATTCCGCTGATTGATGTCGTACTGTGCCGCCTGGTCACAGAGAGTTGAATCAGCTGATGAGATAGGTTTTAAGCTTTTCTCATTCCTTTTTTTCTCTGCTGCCGGTGGGGGAGAGGTGTGACGGGGGCGATTATAGAAAGCTCCACCCTCTGGCCGCTGTGAACGCCAACGCATCTCTGTTCGGGGAACTCATTTTTTTAGATTTAGGGTTGGTGGAAGAGAAATGTTAGAGGTACCTGAGTACATCTACTTCAAAAAGATTGTCCCAATTGTAGAAGTGAGTAGAACAAGGTTAATTTTATTCTCAATTTAATTTATATAATTATAGCTACAAAATGGTACAAAACAATAAAAACTCTATGTAGTAAAAAACTGTATAAAACAAGATGTGACAAAATTATTATTTTACAAAATAAATATTAAAAATAAGCAAACAAATAGTGAATTATATTTGACCCTGTGAATAATTTTTTGTAAATATCTATAGGAAGGAAGAGGCGGTGTTCCCACCTTCTTATCATCCTACATGGCGACATCTCGTCAGTCTTTTGGCATACACACCCGCATGCCAAAGTGTTTATCTAATTTGACTTTTTAGAATCAACTAGATTCAATCTTTGACATATAAATAAATAAAATGTATATGACATATTAATTAGATAAGACATGAATTCGAAATTAGTTTATAACATAGATCTAGCGAATAAAGTTTATCAACTTTGAATGTAAAAAGTCAAAAGTAAACAAGTACTCCAACACAAAAATATGGAGTAATACTTTTTGAACAAAGGGTTAATTATAGAGGTCTCCACCATCTCCGCTTTCAAGTATCAGTAAGGTTTGTGTAAGCTCACGCTCCCAGACCTTTTTTTGTGGGATTCAACTGGATTGTTGTTGTTGGTTGAATATAAGGGTATGAGCGAGTTGTCGAACAACAAAAGGCGAAACGTAAATACCCGAATATAATTGTCAAAACAAAGATACTTTGATAGATAAGCAACCATACACGCATGGATATAATAATAAATGAAGATATAAAGGAGAAAATGGAATAACATCTACTAGGGGTATTATTGAAACGACAATGGCCATCTTAGGTGATTTGGACATGTCGAGAAGACTAATTGAACATCCAATACAACGGGTGGATGAAATCAAAAATAGACATGAAAATTTATTTGACATCACATTTATTCAATCTACCTACTACATCACACCAATTCAATCTACCTGTCACATCACATCTATTCAATATTAATCAATCTTTAAGCTTTTTTTACTCATCATGTAACACCCTAATCCGTCCAGGTCTGCAGCCCCATTCGGACTAAAGTATTTAACTTGGTAATCGTAAAAATTTAAAACTTTTCAAACACACTTTATTAATCCCAATAATATTTTTCAATACATATACAATACGGAGTATTCAACAATATTGCAGAAGCGATTTTAATATTGACATATCATAAATTGTTTTAAAACTTGTCACATCCATCCCGACAATCTCGCCCCATCTGCCGCCAGGATCACATTCTGCTTTCTGCTTACCTGCGTGTAGCAAATAAAACACACTACACGCTCAGCGGTAAAGCTGAGTAAGCATATCTAATGCGTCGAACATCCATATAAACTGAATCTAAATTCATAATCAAATCATTTGATATCATGCACACAATGTTCATTTCAAACATTCACAGTTTTGATATTGTTCAGTTCATATGAATACATTTTATTCAATTCAGATACTATTTCAATAGTGCTCTTAAATTATTCTTAATCTAAAGCCAGATTATAACAATGCTCTTAGCTATTCTTAGTCTAAGGCCAGATCATAATAATGCTCTTAGCTATTCTTAGTCTAAGGCTAGATCATAATTTCTATAACCAGATTCTTAAAAGGCAATCATTAATCAGACACTTAAACTATCATTAGTTTAAGGCAATCGATTTCGGACACTTAACTGCAGTCAGTTAAGGCAATCAGACACTTAAACTATCACTAGTTTAAGGCAAATGATTCGGACACTTAACTGTAGTCAGTTAAGGCAACAACAATATAGCGATTGAT